GGTTGTTATAGTGTTCGGCACACTGTGTTCTCCTTCTCTCTGTGCTGCGGGATGTCTCCACGTTTGCCGGGAGTGCACTGCAGACCGCACAATCACACACCCATTACTCCTCCGGCGATGAAGTAGTGCCCTGTGCTATCAAAGAGTGAATTGAAAACAGCATTCAGATGGTTGCTCTGAAATGAAGCTGCGAGGCCAGCTATGTCTCTACCACCCAGCCTGCCTCCAAAATATAACTGTGACCAGCACCTGGGTCACGTCGTTGAGTAACTAAGGTAATGCTCTACTCTTCTTTAATCCCCACTGTGACCCAGGGGCACACAGAATGCTGTTGCTAGAGGACTCATCTCCAGCTGATAAAGCAAACTAGTGCTGAGGATAAGCCTTGAAGTCAAGCATTGCTTTGTAATTTCTTTCCCTTCTTTGCCAAATGGTTTAGTTATAAAAATAATTCAAATTATATAGTATCTTCTGTCTGGGTATTAGATTTTTGAAATCCAGAGGTCAAAATTCTTTATTTCTTTAAAAAATGAGAACATAAAATGGAATTCCAGCAAAAAGCTGACCTTGATACTTGTGAGCACATCCGTGCAGCAGGCAGCATGGAGCTAGGGGGCCCTTGTCAGGATCCTTAACTGTGGCCAACTATAGGTGTTAGAGGGAGAAATAACATTGTAGCTGAATTGAAGGAGGCAGAGAGATACTAATGTACCCTCTCTCAGCAGGAAGTAAACTAAATAGTTGTGCACTTTTTGGAGACTTATTAATGAGGCCCACTGCTGACTGGGTAGAGCAAGGGAATTTACATATAATTCAGAGGTGAAATGAATGGTTAATTAGGATATGAAACTTATTCCATACTGGAGGGCACTGAATTTACAATAAATATCCATAAAACTATAAAAATAGGAGACAGAAAAAAATTAATAATTCAAGACAATTGACTTCATCAAGAACCTTTTAAAGACGTGCAAAATATTTAAATTCCCTGAAAGCTGCCCAATTCCTTATTTTGAGTAATCTGGTCATTTCTAAGGTCTCGCTTCTAAAGCTATCTTGATTTTCTTACAAAGAAAGGAGAGCCCTCGCTTTCTGAAGAGACCTAGAAAGGCTCTGGAGTCGCTGCTCTCTGATAGCATGAGAACCCCGCCTGGCTCCCGTCCTAATGAGCTTACACACTGCTGCAGGGAAGAGGCTGGGCGAGAGGGACCACAGCCGCCAAACGCTCCCAAGCAATTAAAGGCTGATTGTTTGTCTTCTTTCCAGGTGGGAAGGAAAGAATGAAAATGAAGTGGGCAGATGTAAAGAGACCGGCAAAGTTCACGTGACTGTGGACCTCAAATACTACCGACCAACTGAAGTGGTAAGGGCTCCCGGCCGCTGGTGTGTGGCCACACTTGGCCAGCTGTCTGGGAAAGTGCTGTCACTGAAAGCCGAAGCCAACCTCAGAGCTCCCATCCAGCTCTCTGGCGTCTCTCAACGGGCGAGTCCAGTGAATTGAGTTTGAGATGGTGGTCTCCCCACTAGGTCCCTTGCTTTACAAAGGAAGGCCAGGGTAAAACACATTCGTGGAAATGGTGGGTCTTGGAAAGGGCAAATCTCATTGTGTCAGTCCGCTGCTTTGGTGTCTGAACCCTGGTACCTATGGGAGGTCGGGATGGCTGCCTGCCTCCTCAGTGCACACACGCACTCATAGGCACACAGAAACGTCATGAATGTTCTCCCTGTACATTAACACTCAGCTCCAGTAGTCTTCCTTTGGTCCTTTTCTAGACAATGTACCACACCACTAATGTCTCTGCTCCTTCCTTTCCATCTACAGTATGTGCAACACAATTGTACTATTGCACCTCTTATAATTAATTATGCTCATTTGTTGACATGTTTTTCTCCCATTATCAAACTGTGAACTCTTTTAGGATAAGCACTTTTTTTAATATCTTCAACCGTAACAAAGTAGGTGCTTAATAGATATTGATGGATGAACAGACATTTCTAAATACAGAGGTTTCTGTATCAAGAAATGGCCTGAAGATTGTTAGAACATAACAGCCTCCTTTCGTAGATTTGTGAAAACTCCTGGCTTGGTATTGTTGCTTACACTTTAATGTGGGTCACACTCATTATGGGCACAAAACTGAATTGTGTTACGAATACCTAAAGATAATAGAAGTGGCACCTTCAGGGAGAAATGTTCCAATGTGATGGTTAGCTAGTGACATGCACACTAACTGTGAAAATGGGATCTTGTGAACCTGTTTTACCTGTGTTTTGAACCAAATTCCTATGTGTTGGACAACCTCTCAGAGGTTAGGAAATCCCCAGTGAAGAGAGATTGAAAGTGCCTGTGTTTGTTCAAAATGTCTTGTTTCAAACAAAAGAAAAAACTTCACTTCATGGGCTCCACACACAGGAGGAAGTAAAAAGAAAAGCAGCGTGCAGGCCAGGGCTGCAGAGGGACGCACTGTCCCCGCCGGGCGTGGCCGGCCCCCGGGACCATGGCTCCCTGCGCTGGCCCGGGGTGTGCGAGGAGAGGGCGTCTGGGTGGGAGGAAGGCTCCCGCACACCCCGCAGACGCAGCCAGCAGGCCTGTGCGCGGCCCCGCACGCGTTGCTTCCCTGTCCTGAGAGGTGCCCCGAGGTGTCAGTTTTCTGGAACGTTGCACAGGTCACATAAACAGGCAGAGCTCTTTCTTTGCTAACAGAATGTGTCATCTCAGCGTGGAAAACTTACCGAGCTGGCAGAAAGCTACGTCCTTGTACGGTTTACATGTGGCTCCTTCTCTCTCTCTGTCACCAAGACAATCCCAGAAGCTCAGAGGTCCTTAAAGATGGTTGTCTGTCTTTCTCACTTGGCAAGGTGTAAGGTTGATAAGAGCACAGAACAAGAGAGTTTGCCGAACAGGAACAGGACCCCTGGACTAACAAGACGGTTCTTGAAGCCCCTCTACCGTGTCCCGACGCTATGTCCACCCCGTGTCTTTGCGCATTCAGACGTCACTGTCATACCTGTTCTGCAACTCCATTCACAGGGATGCTGTGGGCCAGAGGAGAGGTGTCCTGTTTCCTGCGCGGGCTTTATTTGCTCACTGATTTAGCTCCCACCCCGATTCCCTAACTCCCTGTTTTGAGTCTAGATGTTCACCTGCATGTCGTCTAAGCCTCTAGGCTGCATTAATTTTGTTCACTCCACTTCAACGGAGTGTTCCGTGGGGCGAGCTTTTCTTGTGTGGGGAGACTAAACTTTTAACCTCATGGCTCAGAACGAGGAGCTTTCCCAAAACAGGGGTCAGTTCTACAGCCTTCTGTGGACACGCCTCAGGGTGACAGGACTCTTCCAGGGGACAGGGGACCGGGGCTGAGCACCGACTTGTACATGGGCGCCCACTTAGGTGTGGGCCTCACTAGCAGCACCGCCAGAGTGGGCACGAGTCCCGGAGCGCTGCATGCTGAGGTGCGCCTGCGCGGGGCGGTGCGGGTGGAGCCTCTGCGTGGGAGCCACGCGCTCAGTGCCGAAGCCCCTCCCGCCAGCCCCAGGCTTCCTCACCTCTTCCTCAGAGTCTGTAAAGCGCGTTCTCCTGAAGAGCTTTAACCATGTGCGTCCCCCACGGTCTTCTACACACAGGGCACCCCAAAGCCAAGGGAGTAAACCAGATCTCCTTAGCATCCCACGGTTCCAAAATGACTAATAGAAAAGAAAGAAAGAAAACTTGAAGAAAATGATAAGGACATACCAGGTCTCAGAACAGCAGTATCCTAGAGCAAGATAAAGGCAGAGCTGTACGTTGTTTCTCGAATAAGATTCTGACTAGTCTTAAGAAAGGCTCTTTTCTGCCTGGAGGCCAGCCAAGTCCTAGAGCATGCTGCACATGCGCCGTAGAGCGCGCCGCCCCGCTGGCGTGCCGCACGTGCGCCCTAGAGCATGCCATAGAGCACACCGCCCCTCTGGAGTGCCGCACGTGCGCCCTAGAGCATGCCATAGAGCACACCGCCCCTCTGGAGTGCCGCACGTGCGCCCTAGAGCATGCCATAGAGCACACCGCCCCTCTGGAGTGCCGCACGTGCGCCCTAGAGCATGCCATAGAGCACACCGCCCCTCCGGCGCGCCGCACGTGCGCCCTAGAGCATACCATAGAGCACGCCGCCCCTCCGGCGTGCCGCACGTGCGCCCTAGAGCATGCCATAGAGCGCACCGCCCCGCTGGAGTGCCGCACGTGCGCCCTAGAGCATGCCATAGAGCGCGCGGCCCCTCCGGCGTGCCGCACGTGCGCCCTAGAGCGTGCTATAGAGCGCGCCGCCCTGCAGCAATGCCGCACGTGCGCCCTAGAGCTCGCCACACCTGCCAGAGTGCTGCACGTGTACCGTAGAGCACTCCGCACGGGCCGTAGAGCATCGCACAGGCGCCATAGAGCAAGCCGCACCCACCACAGAGTGCTGCACATGCGCCATAGAGTGAGCCGCACGTGCATTGTAGAGCGAGCTGTATCCCCTAGAGCGCGGGCACATGAGCCAATGACTTAAGACCTCATCAGCGGCACCCAAGAGCCTTAAATCTTGCTTACCTACCATTATGGAAGGAAAGCTTTTGTTCTGAGCTAAGCACTAGGGCACCCAGTTAGAACTGAATGGAGTCACAATTTTTGCTTCTTTACCGGTTAAGCCTCTGGGTTTCCTTTGAACATTTAGGAGTTTTGCTAGCGTGATGAGCTTAATCCTGAAAATTAAACTTCAAATTCCTCATTGCCCCCGAGTTTCAGTATTTGGTGATGGTATTCTCAATACTTAAGTTATGCCCTCTTAAAATTGCCTCCCACATAGCTTTCTCTATGTGCGCACATTTACACCTAGATTAATTGCATTGTGTGTCTGTTCCAGGGGTGGGAACCTTTTTTCTGCCAAGGGCCATTTGGATATTTATAACATCATTCAAGGGCTATACAAAATTATAAGCTTAAAAGTTAGCTATGAGGAAAGCTCCTAGATTTATTGAATTTGCCTGCAGTTGCTTTGGCAGGGCCAGACCAAATGATTTCGCAGGGCATCTGGGGCTGGGCTGGATGGTCCCCACCCTTGGACTCTCCTCATAGAGAAGTAGGGCTGTTTAAGGTGGGCCCCAGGCCAGGCTTCCTAAGTACAGAAACTGTCAGTCACTAGCTGTGCGCCCTTAGGCAGATCACTTCTCAGGAATTCCATTTCCATCTTTAAAAATGGGTTTGGTAATAGAACTTCTTTCAAAGAGTTGTTGGAAATTAAGTGTACAAAATATTAAAACAGTATCTGGCACACAGTAAAATACCCCATATCGATGCTATTTTTTTTTAATTTATAGATTTTAGAGAGAGAGAGGAAGGGAGGGAGAGAGAGAACATTGACTTGTTGCTCCACTTACGCATTCATTGGTTGCTTTTTGTATGTGCCCTGACCAGGGATCGAACCTGCAACCCTGGGGAATCGGGACAAGGCTCTAACCAACTGAGCTATCCGGCCAGGGCTGATGCTGTTACTGTTATTCATTTATTCATCCATTCATTATTTACCAAGTGCTGTGTTAGACCTTGGGAATACAGTATGAACAAGATAGACACAGTCCCTGCCCTTGTGGAGATTGTGGTTGTAGAGGCCTCAATCAGTTGCTTGACTCTAGTACCTTTTGAAAAGCAGAGTGGTATCATTGGTGTATTATATAGATTAACCAACAAAAGGTAGATAACAAGGTATAATAAAAGCTACTAGAAAAGATTGATACGTGATTTGATTTTTCAATTCTTGTTTTATTTCATTTCCATCCTTTCTGATAATCTTTCAGAAGATTAAGTAGCTATTCAGTAGTAAGAAGCGTCGTATAAATATAAGAAGATTGGCATTGGCCTGTTACTTTAAAACAACCACAAGGCATCGTCCTTCTGTTTGAGAGTGTTTAACCTGGAGAATTTACAGAGGTTGAGGTAATGAAGTATTCAGCCTAACGTGCCATAATTTCTAACCCCACCAAATGCTCAATCCACTTAAAACAATTTTAATAAGTAAGATTATTTTGTCTAGTGAAACAAACAAAAATCTTTTTTCCTGCAGAGCATTTTAGGAAATGGCATGGGGGACACAGCCACAGACTAAAAATGAAATCACATATTTTTCGTTAAAATGCCTCCACTGAAATTCTAGCAGATGACACAAACTGCATTTTTTCTTGCTGTATCATTTGTCTTCAGCGTTCATTTTTCTTGCTGTTGTGTTTCTAATGTCCTCAGTTGTGATTGGTTTTTGTCTTATTTATTTAGATACTTCATGTTCATTCCTGTTCTTTTTAGATATTAGAGAAAATCATGAGTTAATATCTAGAATTGAGAAAACAATAGCTTTAAAG